TCCCTATTGTGTTGTTGTGTTAATAAGTAAAAAATTATGAGAATCTGTAAAAAATAACTCAGTGAAGGAGGTAATTGGAAGGGGTAAAAAAGGTAATAAAAATCTTGCATTACTTTGTAAACGATTTAAGAAAGTTTACGAGGATTTAGAAAAAATAACTCAGTGAAAGAGGTAAAACTGCTATGTAGTAGGAAATTTCCCTCGTTGATATCTTTTTTGCCGGATTCTAGCGGTGCATCACCCACTGCAACGATACTTCGTTCAAAATAAAGCATTAAAATAATTCATTAATTTTGCAGTAACACTCTTACCAGTCAATATGCCGGCAGCTTTACTAGCATAGTAATCAGACAGTTTGAGAATCTGCTCATTTCCATATTCAGAGATTTTTGCTAAATTCCGGAACTCGTCCAAAATTCAATGATATTTTTATATTCCGCTCACCATTATTTGCAGTTATTATTGCTTATAACAAAGAAATGTCTGTGAATGTGCATCAGATGAAAATTCTTGAAAAACGACCTTTCACGAAAAATTCTGGCTACGTCACTCACTGAGTTTACATGCCTTGATGAAGTGCACAAGCAAAAAACTGCTGCGAAAATCTCGTCAACATGCACATCTCGTTGTTCCCTAGAAAAGAAGGCAGGCAGATGACTGGAATTTTTTCCCGAAATTTTGTTTGTCCATCGCAAATTGGCTTACAAATTTTTGGTGTTTTTGGGCATTATATTCAAAGAATACGTTCCCTTAAGGTTCACCGGATTTACACCGTCCGTTTTGTATTGCTTGAACACTCAACTCCTGAAATGTTGATTATTGTGTAGTTTCCGGAACAAAGCATTAACTAAATTCCGGCAACAAGACCAAATGTCCAGTCATGGGATGGCCTGAAAATGAAATTCAGAAGTTTGAATGTGAATAACTTGCTCTCAAATTTTCCAAGTCATCCTATATTGTTCTTTAAGCTGAATTTTTCAAATGCACAAACAAACACGATCTGCTATTATTTGCTTTTAGTGCTAGAATGCATAAATAAGAAAGGATCAATTAAGACCTTTGATTTAGAGCGTATGCGATGAAATTTAACTAAGTTTAAAGTATTGAACAAAGTAATAAAGTGATACAAAATGTTGCTTAGTAACAATAGCATACTTTTATTTATGCTGTAAACTTAGACAACGACTCACCAGGATTACCGATGCGTTGCTCACCTAGGCATGCGTTAAACTTGAAGCATTTAGGTCGTCAACAGCATGAAGTTGTACGCTCATAGCAGCCAACTGTCGTAAATTTTGCATAGAGGATACTAAATAATTTTCCGTAACAGGTGTAACTTGATTAACAATCTCCTAGTTCTTGAGTTAACAATCTTCCCGTCAAAATTTTTATTTTCTTATGCCTGAAAACGATATTACGTTTTTTGAGACACCTTGACCAGTGAAAC